CGTGAGTCTGTTCTACAAAGTAACAATTCCTGGGAGAAAAAAAACTGTCTGAGTGGAACTTCCTCCTCACTAATGGAATACGAAAAGAATGAATCTTGTGTACGTGGCATTGCAGGTCATGGCTGTGATTTTTTGAACTGGTAGAAATCGGGAATGTATTTCGTCTGAATATTTTTCATAGAATTAGCAGTAGAGTAGCAATCGGTTTGCGACGTTAAGTCTGCAGGAGAGGAGTTTTAGGGTTGAAATTATTCATCACCTACAAAGCTGCGTAAAGGCTATGCATTCTGCCGAGTTTGGAAATATAGGATTGGGTATCTCCAGCCCATATATGGCAGCAATACTCTATTCTTTTGTTTGATTTGACTCTTGTAAAGATAGAGCATGGCAGATGAAGTTAGGTACGTTCTGGTGTAGTATAAGGGACCGACCATTTTTTCCAGTACCTTTAGTGATGGATCAAATATAGGATTTTCATAAGACCTCGGGCAAACTTCACTCCCAATAAACGTTCAAAGCAAGGGACCCGCATTGAGAGTGCAACTGCTGATGACAGGAAAATATTCAGTGATCATGAAATGATAGCTAATTTGGTTTTTGAGGTATTGAAACTTGCAAGCTAGTCTTTCCAGCCATTGTGCTGTTAGAGCTTGAGCAGAGAAGAGATCAGCTGTCAGACTCTGACCATCTTTATTTTTGGAGATGCACCTATAAACTGCTGATGGGCTTAAGCAAGTGAATGACAGAACGTGGGGAGCATAGGGAAGGACCTTGTTGAGAACTTCAAGGGATAGAAGGAGGTGGAGAGCCATGATTGCCTATGTTCTGAAAGCATATAGCACATAAAAAAAGAATGATCCGATAATGTCCAGAGGCAGAAAAATGGTAGGACCAAAGAGTGAGCCTTGTGAAATGACTATGTGGGTCTCATGTACATGGCATGGCGGTCCTTAGCTCTCAAGGCCTGAACAAGTAGAACTAACTATAGGACCAAGGGGTGAGCCTTGTGAAATGTCTGTGTGGGTCTCATGTACATGGTATGGCGGTCCTTTGCTCTCAAGACCTGAACAAGTAGAACTAACGATAGGACCAAGGGCTGAGCCTTGTGAAATGTCTGTGTGGGTCTCATGTACATGGCATGGCGGTCCTTAGCTCTCAAGGCGTGAACAAGTAGATCTAACGATAGCACCAAAGAGTGAGCCTTGTGAAATGTCTGTGTGGGTTTCATGTACATGGCATGGCGGTCCTTAGCTCTCAAGGCCTGAACAAGTACAACTAACGATAGGACCAAGGGGTGAGCCTTCTGAAATGTTTGTGTGGGTCTCATGTACACGGCATGGCGGTCCTTAGCTCTCAAGGCCTGAACAAGTAGAACTAACGATAGGACCAAAGAGTGAAATGTCTGTGTGGGCCTCATGTACATGGCATGGTGGTCCTTAGCTCTCAAAGCCTGAACAAGTACAACTAACGATAGGACCAAGAGGTGAGCCTTCTGAAATGTCTGTGTGGGTCTCATGTACATGGCATGGCGGTCCTTAGCTCTCAAGGACTGAACAAGTAGAACTAACGATAGGACCAAAGACTGAGCCTTGTGAAATGTCTGTGTGGGTCTCATGTACATGGCATGGCGGTCCTTAGTTCTCAAGGCCTGAACAAGTAGAAATAACGATAGGACCAAGGGGTGAGCCATGTGAAATGTCTGTGTGGGTCTCATGTATATGGCATGGCGGTCTTTAGCTCTCAACGCCTGAACAAGTAGAACTAACGATAGGACCAAAGAGTGAGCCTTGTGAAATGTCTGTGTGGGTCTCATGTACATGGCATGGCGGTCCTTAGCTCTCAAGGCCTGAACAAGTAGAAATAACGATAGGACCAAGGGGTGAGCCATGTGAAATGTCTGTGTGGGTCTCATGTATATGGCATGGCGGTCTTTAGCTCTCAAGGCCTGAACAAGTAGAACTAACGATAGGACCAAAGAGTGAACCTTGTGAAATGTCTGTGTGGGTCTCATGTACATGGCATGGCGGTCCTTAGCTCTCAAGGCCTGAACAAGTAGAACTAACGATAGGACCAAGGGGTGAACCTTGTGAAATGTCTGTGTGGGTCTCATCTACATGGGATGGCGGTCCTTAGCTCTCAAGGCCTGAACAAGTAGAACTAACGATAGGACCAAGGGGTGAGCCTTGTGAAATGTCTGTGTGGGTCTCAGTTAAATGGCATGGCTGTCATTAGCTCTCAAGGCCTGAGCAAGTAGAACTAACGATAGGATCAAGGGGTGAGCCTTGTGAAATGTCTGTGTGGGTCTCATGTACATGGCATGGCGGTCCTTAGCTCTCAAGGCCTGAACAAGTAGAACTAACGATAGGACCAAGGGGTGAGCCTTGTGAAACGTCTGTGTGGGTCTCATGTACATGGCATGGTGGTCCTTTGCTCTCAAGGCCTGAACAAGTAGAACTAACGATAGGACCAAGGGGTGAGCCTTGTGAAATGTCTGTGTGGGTCTCATGTACATGGTATGGCGGTCCTTAGCTCTCAAGACCTGAACAAGTAGAACTAACGATAGGACCAAGGGGTGAGCCTTGTGAGATGTCTTTGTGGGTCTCATGTACATGGCATGGCGGTCCTTAGCTCTCAATGCCTGAACAAGTAGAACTAACGATAGGACCAAGGGGTGAGCCTTGTGAAATGTCTGTGTGGGTCTCATGTACATGGTATGGCGGTCCTTAGCTCTCAAGACCTGAACAAGTAGAACTAACGATAGGACCAAGGGGTGAGCCTTGTGAAATGTCTGTGTGGGTCTCATGTACATGGCATGGCGGTCCTTAGCTCTCAAGCTGAACAAGTAGAACTAACGATTTCCATGGAAATAGTGATAGAGTAGCAACAGGCTTTTAACGTTGAGTCTGTGGAAGGAGAGTTGTAAGGAAGAAAATAATTCCTCGCCCATAAGGCAGCGTAAAAGCTATGAATTCTGCCAAAGCTAGAAAGAAAGGATTGGGAATCTCCAGCCAATATATGGCAACAATACTCCATTTTTAGTCTGACCTAAGACTTAGATAGAGCAGATCAGGAGGAGTCAGATACTTATTATTAAATAAATGCTGTTCCCTGATGACCATTTACTTCAATGTTTAGTTGCTTGATTTTGTTTGGCGGCATATCAACCTCTCTGGTGTTATTTAATGCCGAAATCTAAATAATTTGAAAAAAATTATGGCTTCTACTTAATATTATTTGACCTCCGACTACCAACAAAATGTATTACTGGCCTTGTTCCTTTAGAAATGTATCGTTGCTAATTTTACTATAAGCAGACATTGTTACTACTTTTTAAAAAAAATGTTTTGCTGGCATTTTTACGATAAAAATGTATTTTGAATACTTTCGTACTGTTTTGTTTGGGGTTTCCCTATTTTCCTATCGATGGGATCTTAACAAATGCTACCATTCCGAGTCAGGGTGGACCTGGGAACAACAGCAATTAGGAGGTTGCTTCACGCTCCTCAAAAGCTCCAACCTCCTTGCTGCTGGATGTAGTTTATCGTCATACCTAGGACTTCATTTACTTCAACGTCATCTTACGAAACATTCGTCTTTTCATGAACACAACAACGATATAAAATAAAGAACCTCCCATTAAATTAAAATGTTTTGGGCATTAAAAAATTTACTTTTCAGCGTGTGATTTTTATGATTATTTTGTGTGTGTGCGGGCATGTCTGTCTGTACGCATGTATCAATATATGTATGCAAATGTGTGCGTGTCGATGCGTTTATATCAAGCTAGCTCGGACGTTCATGAGCCTCTCACGCCAACTATAACGGTCCTGCAAGGTTGGAAGGCCGTTAAGATGGCATCCTGTGTCATAATATAGTGTTTGGTAACATATAGGCGGTTGCTAGGTGACCAGCCCGTCTTGCACCATGGCTAGGTGTCCATAGCAGTAGATCACTCACAAGTTCTTATTTTGCACTCCAGCAGTACCCTGCAAAGCGCATTTTGCGTGTGCGTAAGATTGTAGAAATATCAGGGATGGATCCATAGAGCTGTGATTTCGTTGGATGTTGCCGCCAAGAGATACTAAGTATAGTGTAGGTTCCATCAAGCTTAGACTCTAAGGTTTAAGTTAATGACCAGGCAGTGGCGTCATACATTAACAGCCCCTACAGTGGCTTGAAAGTATCCCCGTTTGAGGTTGTCTGATAGATCAGATTTCCAGATTACATCCATTTTATTCAAGGCGGCCCAGAATTTAGTTATGCAAATTTTCATATATTTTTCAGTAGGATTTTTTCACTTCCTAGGTATATAAAAGATTCGACAGATTTTATAGATTCACTTGCATACACATTATTTTTTTAATATATAAAAAAATATTGTGTATGCAAATGTGTGCGTGTGCATGAGGGTGTCTATGTGCGCGTGAGAGTATTTGTATGCGCGTAAATGTGTATGCGTGTACATGCATTTATGTGTGTAAGCGCGTATATGTGTATGTGCATCAAGAATAGGCTACCAAATTTTTGCAGGTGTGACAGGTTTGCGGAGTTTTTGAAAAACATATTCGCTGATAAAAAAAAAAAAAAGTCTTTCAAAGATTTGGGAGGTGTTTGTTTTTATTCTTAATTTTTTTTTTTTCCTTTTCAGAAATGATCTCCATCGATAGAGGTTAGAAGATTGAATTATTTAAGAAAAGAGTCAAATTCAAAGAAATTCAAAAGATAATATTGGCAGTGAGTTTGATTTTTCCTTTCGTAAAAAGTAATTAAGAGTATAAAGGATCAACAAAACAAACAAACAAAGAAAGGTGTAAATATACGGAAAAGAAAAGAAAGAGGAAGGTGTAAATATAGGAAAAAGAAAGAAAGAAAGAAAGAAAGAAAGAAAGAAAGAAAGAAAGGTGTTAATATGCGAAAAACGAAAGAAAGTTTTTTGTAAATACATGGAAAAGAAAGAAAGAAAGAAAGAAAGAAAGAAAGAAGGAAGGAAAGAGGAAAGTTTAAATATATGTAAAAAGAAAGAGAGAACGAAAGAAAGAAAGGTGTAAATATAAGGAAATCAAAAGAAAGAAATATGTAAATATATGGAAAAGAAAGAAAGAAAAGGAAGGTTCAAATATATGAAGAAAGAAAGAAAGAAAGAAAGAAAGAAAGAAAGAAAGAAAGCGAAAGGTGTAAATATATGCTAAATAAAAGAAAGAAAGACGAAGGTGTAAATATATAGAAAAACAGAGAACGACAGCAAAAAGAAAGACAAACAGAAAGGTATAAATATACAGAAAACTAAAGAAAGAAAGAAAGAAAGAAAGAAAGGTGTAAATATATGGAAAACAAAAGGAAGAAAAAGAAAGAATGGTGTAAACATACGGAAAACAAAAGAAAAGAAATTGTCTTTTTTTGTCATCTGTCCAAAACGTTGTTCTACCATTCATTTACACAGGATCGTTTGGTAGATTATAGATTGTTTTGCTCTGGCCTTCTTGCTTTCAATCTGTTTAGTGAGTATCAAATTTTCCAAGCCCTCTTTCCTCATTATACGCCCAAAAAATCAACTATCTCTTTCTGATATTCAGTATAAGTGTCCTTTTTGTTTACATTTTCCTTAAAACTTCATTGCTACTCATATGTTCAGTCAATTGGTATTCTCAGCATCCTTCTGTAGAACCCCACTTCTATCAACTCAAGTTTCTACTTCAATTGTGAGAAGATTGTCCAGCATTTACTGCCATATAGGAAAGCTGATATTACACAACAATTCTGTACTCTTTTCTTTGTACCTGCGAAATTTTCATGTGTTTTTTAATATTTTGCTTAGCTTTTGAAAGTCACCTTTAGCTATCTTATTTCTATTCCCATTCTCCGTTTAAAGACTTGACAGATATTTAAGTCATTGCACTTGCTTGATTTTGGGATCTCTAATTTGTAATTTGCTTGTTGGGACGTTCCGTTTGCTGACAGCTATGAATTCTGTCTTCTTCCTTTCTTCTCGCTTTCCTTTATTGACTTCTGTAGGAGAGTTTCTATTTCGCTTTCTGTGTCTATCAACACTGTGCCATCTGCATTTGTTATGTTTTTGATATTGTGGCTGATAATAATAAATCCTCGTAAGAATTCTAATTCTCTCAGAATTGCCTCACTGTATAATTTGAATAAGTCCAGTGAGAAGAGGCATCCTTGTCTTACATTTTTCCAATAACGATATATAGGTTGGGTCAAATATCATGAAGGGTTTTGAAATTTTAATAATTTTTAAAATTAAAATAGATGCCTTTTACAAAATGGAAGCTTTCACACCTGGTGTACATATTTTCTTACATATACTTTACACAAAACCTCAGTACAGTCTATTTATTTAAATTCATATACTATTTATATATTTATTATTCATATACTTTATATGAGACCTCAGTACAGTCTATTTATTTAAATTCATATACTATTTACATATTTATTATTCATATACTTTATATGAGACCTCAGTACAGTCTATTTATTTAAATTCATATACTATTTACATATTTATTATTCATATACTTTATATGAGACCTCAGTACAGTCTATTTATTTAAATTCATATACTATTTACATATTTATTATTCATATACTTTATATGAGACCTCAGTACAGTCTATTTATTTAAATTCATATACTATTTACATATTTATTATTCACATACTTTATATGAGACCTTAGTACAATCTATTTAAAACAAAAAATAAAAGAATTATTGAATAGTAAAAATATTTTGTGGCTTTTCCTCGCACCCCCTCATTTAACAATGTATAGCCCTTTTCAGTGTCCAAAATATATTTTATACATTTTTTAAATTAAGCAGATTATGCATAAATTACAGGTTTTCTCTCTGATCTCAGAGAAAATATTAAAACAAAGTATTTCACTATCTAAGGTTACATTTAAGAAAATTATTTCCACAAACTTTTCTGGCAAAATACCATCGTTACAAATAAATTTCTTTATAAATGAATAATTTATTTTTGTTCCTTTTTTTTGTCTCAAAATTAACTCGTACTTTTTAATGACTCCAACTTATTTTGTCCAGTTTAAACAAATTTTCAAACGTAAATGTTTCTTGTTCTTTTATTCTGAACACGAGTAATTTCGTATCATGTTTTTCTCCAGACAAGCTTCTCTCTAATGATGCAAATATATGACAATAAACTTCAATATTATACACGTTTTGTGCGATATTTTTGGACCTATTGCTTTTCGTCGAAAGTGTACTGGGGAAAATATGGAAGAACGTAAAGAATAAATTAAGGCAAATTTTATCTTCTAAAAATGATGCAGATCAAAGAATGGCTATAAGGAATAAAGTCCAGGTGCTGCTCTATTCAAAAGTTGACTTGGTTATTTTATATACTTGATTTTCCAAAGAAAAAATCAAGTATTTTTATTGGCCTCTTCTCTGTTTATTCCTTTGTGTTTTCTTCATTGCTATCCACTGATTAAATAGCAAAAAGGAAAGAAAAGAATTTTTTTCCCTCTGATCTCAAAGAAAATTTGAAAACAGTGGCATCGGGATATATTGCTCACTCTACGGTGTCAGGCTTCCCCAATTCCAGTCCCATTTTAAAGTGCCATCTAGAAATCGTTTCAGCATTATACTTGTGATTTGTATATATGATTTAAATCCTTCTCCTTATTAACCCCCCCCCCTTACGATCTCAGGTTTCCCCAGTTCCAACCTCATTTGAAGGGTCATCTTGTAATTGTTTCAGCATGATGCTTATGATTTGTACATATGATTGAAATCCTTACTCTTGCTAACAAATTCCTCCCCTTACGATTTCAAGCTTCCTCATTTCCACTCTTATTTGAAGTTGCATCTAGCAGTTGTTTCAGCATTATATTTATGACTAGCAGTAGAGCCCGGCGTTGCCCGGGGATGTAATAGTAAGAGATAAGATCAAGTATCGACCATCATAAAGACTGAAAAATAAAATTGACAAAGATTATTGTTTAAGGTTGACAGACACGCATGTCTTAATTAGTTATTTTTTTTGTTATTTTTTTGTTTTTTTTACGAATTGGTCAAACCCAAACTCAAACAAAAAACATTGTTTTCAATCGTTATGAGTCTACTGATTGAATAGAATTTTATTATAAACAATTGTCTTGTAAATGGAATTTTTAAATATTCTGAATGTAAAAATAAAGAAAAAAAAAGTGTGCAAGACAATAAGAAACACTACCTGCCAAAAAAAAATGAAGTTTTGTTGAAATCGGTTGAAAAATGTAGGAAATCCGATCCCATATATAAACGAACACACACACACAAACAACCTGGGTTTTATAATAAGTATAATTCGATATCAGTTGTTCCACTTTCATTGTCGTGATGCCTCTTAATCGTGTTTTCAAATTGATTTCGTGCAAAAACAATTGTATTTTTCCAATTTTTGGCACTGTCAGAACCACCGCAAGGTAATTTTACCTAGTTCTGTGAAGTTTTGTTGAAATCGGTCGAAAAATGTAGGAAATCCGATCCAATATATAAACGAAACACACACACATACACACACACATAACCTAGGTTTTATAATAAGTATGATTTGTACATTTGATTGAAATCCCTGCCTTCGCTAACATAATTCCTTACCTAAAATTTTAAATTCTTCATCTAGGGGCCCATTGACTACAGTTTGAAAAATATTTTTTTGAAGGTGTAGCGATATACAAATTAGATTGTATATAAGTGTAAAGATTTCTACGCTTGGAAGGTAGTTATCTTTCTGTGACTACACTGCATACTTAGTAATACGATATAACAGAAGGACTACAGACTTCTATCACCCAATAATGTGTATTTTTCTTTTTTCTTCTCTGTCTCTTTTCTTCTATCTCCCAAAGTCTCAATGAAATACCTTCTTCTTCTTCTTCTTCTTCTTCTTCTTCTTCTTCTTCTTCTTTTATGCATCATGTCTCTTCATGACTTGGACATCCATGACTCTCCACAACTTCCTGCCCTTCGTAGCCCTAATCATTTTTTTACTCTTTTTACTCTACTATCACTCTTTTTCCCCCTCTGCTATTCATTCACAAAAACTCCTTAGGTAAGTTCCTCGATGTTACCCCCCGCCCCTCTTTGCCTTCAACATTTCCTGTGAGTGTCAAATTCTCCAAGCCCTCTTTCTTCATTATGTGTCCAAGAAATTTCAACTATCTTTTGTCTAACCCTAAATATAAATGTCCCTTTACTCCCATTTTTCATAAAATTCCCCTGTTAATTATATGTTACGTCATAGTATTCTCAACATCCTTCTGTGGAACCACATCTCTGTTGTTTCAACCCCCCACTCTTCACCTGTCTGGAAACTGTCAGCATTCACTGCCACATAGCTGGATTAATATTGCTTAACATTACAGTACTTCTTTCTTTCTAACGAAATTTTCCTGCATCTTAATACTTTGCTTAGCTTTTGGAAGGCACATTTAGAAACCGCATTCCAAGCTTCAAATCCACTGAATGCATCGAACTAAATCTTACATGTTTGGCGAAGATCCCAATATGGAAACATTTCAAACTTCAACAGTAGTACGACAAGGATGAAATGAGTTTATTTAATCTTTTCTTAAATTGTAACCAGCACATTTAAAAGCATAGGTGTGAAGAGATGGGTGTTAAGCATTCTTACCACATCCAAAACGAATCTACCAATAGAAATCCGTGATCCTGCTTCCCCTCCCAAGGCCAATGTACTGATGATGAAGATAAGCCATACCGACGACATAAGTTATTTATAGTCGAAGTAAAGAATGACCTTGAACAGAAAATCAACATCCTCTACCAAGTGTTCCAAGAAATAGGACTCAAGATAAACTTTTATGAAACATAAGCTATGATCTGGAACTGGAATGAAAGCAGTGATGGCACCTACCTTGAATCCATCATAAAAATTCAGGATATAGAATTAGCAAATCCTAAACACTTAAAATACTTCGGTATATGGATCAATTATAACAAATTTAACATAGAAGAAAAGGAAACTGAACATAGAATAGGCTGCTCTGGACGTAATTTCCCCCAACACCGCAAATTGCAAGACCAAAATATTAAACTTAAAAAGCCTCAGCTGAGACCTTTTATATGGAAGTAACACTCGGGGTCAACCCGTTCAGAAATATCTAAACTGCATGCTGTATACAACTGCTTTCTCAGATCCAGTGAAGCCTTATTCGAACCTTGTTGACTGGCGCTACAGAATCACAAATAAAGAACTGTATCAGATAAGAGAAAACCATATCATTTTCAACGGCAGCAACAACTAAAATGGATATCACAGGTAAATCGGAGTGAAAATAATGATATAATCAAGATGACGACATTCCACGAGACTTAAAAAAATCGTTAGTAAGGAAACCGCCATCAAAAAATTTTTCTAACCGTAAATACAAATATAACGTCGTTGTATTCTCAGCATCCTTCTGTATAACCACATCTCTGTTGTTTCAAACCCCCTTTTCACCTGCATTGAAACTGTCCAGCATTCACTGTCATATAGCCGGATTAATGCTGCTTAGTATTTCTTTCTTTTTAACGAAATTTTCCTGATTCTTAATTCCTTGTTTAGGTTTTGGAAGGCGATAACAACTACTGGATTTTAGAAACCTAGTTTACTGATAAAATTGTTTTAACATGAAAAATTTATAAATTTTAACCGACAGTACTACTGGCTGCTCGGTCAACGAATACCAAATGTTTCCTTATAAGGAAAAGGCTAATATTGTCATCAACATTACCATTTCGCTATTCTAGTGAGCCTTTGGGGTTTCTGTATAAAGTTTCTCTCTTCTAACTCTCCAGTTAAATTTCTGCATTTGCTTAAATTTACTGTCTTATGTCTTCGGTCGCATCCCTCTTGCTAACAATCATACATTTTATGTTCTTAAAATTAATGATTCGTCCTTTATTCTCCTTTTCCTTTACTACCTACTGTCCAGAAGTTCCTGCATTTGTGTGTGTGTGTGTGTGTGTGTGTGTGTGTGTGTGTGTGTGTGTGTGTGTGTGTGTGTGTGTGTGTGTGTGTTTGCACGCGCACTTACCTACCTGCCGTCATCAACGTGTTTCATATTTTTTAAGTTTGTGTAAGCCTTTAATAAATTCTGGTAAGACTTCTCTTTCCTTGAGAAATGCCCCCTTATATGGGTTAAATAAATCCAGTGCGAAGACTCAACTTTTTGCTCCTTTCTTTGTGTCTGTGTGTGTGCGCGCGTACGTGTGTGTGTGTGTGTGTGTGTGTGTGTGTGTGTGTGTGTGTGTGTGTGTGTGTGTGTGTGTACTGGTTCAATTCTATTCGAATGTAGGTAAATTGTTCTTAATATATTTTATGTATTATTCTAATATCTTTCTAAATAAATTGTGTATTCCTAGCAGAACAAATAGATATTTCGGATTACCCTTTCTAAAAAAAATGTCCTTACGTTGCATAAACTAAACATCAGTTAGCATGAAGCACTGGTCAACAAAGTCAAAACGTTCACTCTTTCTTCCGAGAGCAATTGTAAGCCTATTGTAATTTTGCACCGCCTCAATCAATATCCCAAATTGATTTATCTAAATTAATTCTGAAGGTTAAAAACTGTTATTTTCAACATAATCAATGGTTTCAATTTGTAATATCTTTACCCCGCCACATATTTTTAAATAAATCAAAAATTTTGTTATAAAAATTATATGAAAATCCTTATTTAATATGAAATTGTGAAGAGAGTAAGTGATTTTATGATGAAAATACTTGATTATTTTTAAGATGTGTAGCGGATTAAACTTTTAAACACAAATTCTTTGATTTGGTATGAAATTGTGAGGTGGATTAAATTCTTAAAGACTCAAACCCTTGATTTGGTATAAAATTGTGAGGTGGATTAAATTCTTAAAGGCTCAAACCCTTGATTTGGTATAAAATTGTGAGGTGGATTAAATTATTAAAGACTCAAACCCTTGATTTGGTATGAAATTGTGAGGTGGATTAAATTCTTAAAGGCTAAAACCAGTTATTTGATATGAAATTGTGAGTCTAATAAAATTATTAAACACTAACACACTATTTAGTATAAAAATTGTGAGGCTGATAAAAGTCCTAAACACTAAAACACTTTATTTAGTATGAAATTGTGAAGCTAATTATTTTTTTATAGAATAATACTAATAATTGAGTAAATTCTTTTTTTATACAGGAAAAACCTTGATTTAATTTTTTTTTAAATGTTAGGTGGATTAAAGTTTTAATCACCAAAATATTATATTTATTTTAAGCTATCAACATGAGTATTTTAACTTTCAAAGTTAATTTATATAGAACAACTTATTTATACTTTTATATACAATATTAATTAAGTCGGCGCGAGTTGACAAATGGCTGCGCAAAAGAGTGTAGAATCTAAATTCTACATTTCAGTGGAACACGCTTAAGTTTCTATAATGCTCTCATTAAACAACGTCCTGATTAGACAATATGAAAATTGTATTTTGCTTATCTTTACGTGCAAAGTTCTAAAATCTTGCACAGCTAAACACATAGAGGCTCCAAACCAAGTTTATAGTTACTGAAGCATTCTGATTGGCTGAAAAGGTGTCGTCAACTACGTCCGAATGTACCGACCCAATTTTTGACCTCGAGTTGATTTGTTCAAAGTACAACGGGCCAAAAAAAATGTAAACGTGTTCTCGAGTCTACCACGTGGTTCATATTACTTATAAATGCATTTTCTCTCGATCTCTTTTTTCTGTTTCTTACTTACAAGCAATGTAAGGTCTGTGGAGAATTTGCGTGTTTTCCCTTTGTGGAAAACGGCATCACACACACACACATACGTACGAACATTCACTCCTACAACCACAGGGAGAGAAACTCTTAACGTAACATTTTGTGTCACACCCACAAACGTTTTTACGTACTATTTTCAAACTGTTTAATTCTCTTACAAGCAACACTACATCTTACTAAAATTCTCCAAACTCAAGCACTTTTTAATACACTTCACAGTTTATCAACAAGAATATTTTCCTCACTCAAAATTCCAAGCACAAGTAAACTTCAGCATTTCAAACACAACTGAATTACTGTTTTGTACGATAGCTGTTCCGCATATATAAATTCCATTTACTTGTGCAACTTCTCTTGTTGAATGTGTCTTTTTCTTGTTTCATATTTTGTGGTAATTTGCATAATATAAATTATTTAGGGCGATCCGATGACCTCTACAGACCGGTAACCCCTACAAGAGTAAAACTGAAAGTAAATTTAAAGAAAAATATTCTATATTTTCAGTCAAGTATTTATTGCAATATTTAAGCTTTCTTTTTTTACAATTATTAATTTTTTTAATGACAGAAATTAAGCTTTACTTCAACCTTTTCTCTCTAAGCACAGGTTTCATCTTAACTCACGAATTTCGAGGAATCGAAAGATTTGGTTTGAAACAGTTGACTTATCCAAAAGTACGTATATATGGTATTATAGGGTACTATTATAAAGTAACTGTTTTTTTTTTTTCGCTTGTCCTCACGTATATTGACATTTACTTCATTGTTCATCGGCGATTTGCATCTTTTCAGGAACTGATACAAAGACGAGACAGATTTTAATGGGTTTGTCTCGCGGTCTTTAGCTTTCAAAAGCAACACCCGCACAGAGCCCTCAAACTTTTGATAATGAAATCTACTACAGACAAAAGAAAAACAAAACTTACTTTTTTTTATTTTGGTTCAGTCCGAAGCTGCGTTCATTCTTTCAATCAACTTCAAAGATAGTGCCTGACGAGATAAAAAAAAAATTATTCGCACGCTGTACACTACCTGTCGTGGAGAAAAAACACACATATGTTCGAGCACAAATACATGGGCAAACGGACGTATTTAATAAAACAGACGATAACACTCAAAAATACTAGCTTATATGCTCTTCACATAGATAGATAGATAGATAGATAGATAGATAGATAGATAGATAGATAGGCAGACAAGTAGCGTCTTCAAAATATATATAGATAATAAAGGGAGTCGACCCTAGAATTTTTCAAATGACGAAGACTGCGTGTTATAGAACACATGAAACATAAATTAGTTGCTGCGTATATATATATATATATATATATATATATATATATATATATAGCTAATCAAGTTTGATTCAAAATAGACCAGGTCTACCTCCAATTTACATATAATATAATTAATGTTACATATATATATATATATATATATATATATATATATAATCGAAAATACATGAACAAAAATAAAAAATATTAACTTAATAAAGAAAAGGATGCGTGGAGAGGACACAGTAAATTTTCTCGAGTGTGACGGTCGGTAGACGAAATAAACACAGTTTAAAAAACGGAGCATCTACTCAAATACGGCTATTCACTGTGGGTGACGTTTTAAGTAATCTATATATATATATATATATGTATATATACATATATATATATATATATATATATATTATAATTTTTTTTTTAAATATGAGTCCTTTGCTACATAAGAGTTCTCGTGTTTCAAAAACAAGAGCTGAAAACTTAGATTAAATTATTAGAATTAAATTGAATTAACGCATCAAGCTCTGTTTCATCTTTAAGCGAAATTTTTTCTTTCCTATTTTGCACACACACACACACACACACACACACATATATATATATATATATATATATGAATAGGGATCAAATTCAGAACAAATATATATATATATATATATATATATATATATATATATATATATATATATATATATATATTAATACAAGTAAAAGCTTTGTCACTTAACTGACTGATGTTACCTTCAACAACCTGACTCAGACGTAGACGGACCACCCAATAATCGCTCCGTCCACTCGTCAGGGTATACATATATATATATATATATATATATATATATATATATATATATATATGTGTGTGTGTGTGTGTGTGTGTGTGTGTGTGTGTGTGTGTTTGTGTCTGTGTGTATGTATGTATGTATGTATGTATGTATGTATATGTATATAACGATTTTAAAGAATGAGATCAAAGTTGATGACAAAGTTTCCAGTAATTTGTGCTTTCGTAATTAAGCAATTTTATTTAGAAAATTATCTCAGACTAAATTAATTAAACGTGACAAGTTGTCAAATAGAATTTATATCAATGAATTAGAAAAAAATAGATTTACGTAGAAATGTGTTTTGTAATGACAAATTTCCTAAGTATCTTGGGTTATATGAACACATTCACTTTTACTCTGGATATTTCAAATCATAATGCCATCAGTGTTTCTCAAAGAAGTTGCTATATAAAATTTTTCTATATAGAATTAGATTTATTTAGCTGTTAGATGTAGCCTTTTTTAGGACTTTTTTTCAGCTGTTTTTTTTTTTAATTCATAATGCGACTCAACGCTGTTTTGTACAATTGGTAATTTTTATTACCAAAAGACCTCTACAAATCAAGATAAAAACAAAAGAAAATTGGTAGGATTTAGATAAATAAAATAGATAAATAAAATAGATAAATAAAATAGACATAGGTGCATTCAGACACTTTGGTGGAAGGGTGAGGGTTAATCTTGAGGGCTTTATTTTATTACATGTCAACGTTTCTTAGGTTATTAATGTCAAAATTTTATGGACCGCCTACAGAGGTTCGAACATTAGTAACGATCCCCGGAACAAACATTACTAACCATTACTGCTTTGAATTGAATAACGATAGCTATATGACGTCTTATGGAGTAATAACTCAATTGTGCTTGTTAAATATTTACTGCAGGACATATAACATATACAGGCTCAATGGGGTTTAAATCTGGGGAGCGTTAGAGGCAATGAATTGCTTAGAAGCCAATGTCGTGTTACCCGCGTACTATAGATAGGATGTGTTATCTTGCTGAAAAAAAATCATCACTGGGAAATAGAGTGAGCGTGAAAAGAAAAAAAAAATGTTCTGCAAGAAAATTTGTGTTTGCCACATCATTCAAGAAATACTCCAGTATCATTAGTGTTTATTGCGAACATCTATCGTATAAAACCTGCATTACACAACTACCGCCAACTTTGTACAGCACCCGATTGACAAACTGGACCTATAACTTAATTTTGTCTCCTCCACATACGAACTCTGCCGTCTGCCAGAAATAGCCGGAAACGTCGATCGTTTATTCTTTTTTATCATTTCATCCTAAGCAAGACGATAAAGTCACTAAGGCGCAAGAGGTTATTGACAATGAAAGAAATTGAGAACACGTTCCTTGAGAGAAAGGGCAATAGAAATAGACGGAAGATGACAACTGACGTTGACACTCACAGAATATATTGTAGTCAAGAGAGACAGAGGAATGTAGCGAGTAGCCTACTTAACAAGCTTAGATAACAGAAAAGGGACCGAGAAGACGGTTAAAAGACTAAATTGAGTAATAGTTACAAAGGATAGGAAGTCTCTGAGAGCCATTATCGCCCAAGTTCTGAAGAGACGTGACACATAAAAGAAAAAAGAATGAGAAACGTAATATATGTGTATGCCAGAGAGCAGTATGCTTATAAATTTATCAAAGTTTTCGGCCATCTTGTGACGTAATAACACTCTTTCACTGTCTCTGTCCGTGTTTTAGAAAATGACAAACTTTGTGGCAAGCTCCAGAATTGTAAAAGAGTCCGATAGAACAAGCTGGGAAAACGCACAAACTTTCTCCTTTTGTTCAAGTAGAGCCGTTTGACAGAGGACAAATTGTGGGCCTTTGAAGTGGGGGGTGAAGAGTCATTTCGAAGAACTGTCGCGCCTGTTGGACATGACTCGTCGGGGATTCTTCCAATGGAATGATTCCAACTGAATTCATATAAACAATCCTACACGCATAGACGGCCACGAAAGGCGTCCACAAAAGTACACGTTCTCACTGATGTATTTTAAGGGCAATAGTGAGAGGCAAAACGGCGACCACGGCACAGATCAAAGTAAATTTGACCTCAGTAGGGTCAGCACGGACCGCTGGATATCATTTAATTGAGAAAAAACTACTACTTCCATTACAAAAACTGTCATGCACATCACCAAGAGTATTGCCAGCGGATTACCTGGAACGTCAATGAGGAGGAGGTGCTGAAAAGTGCATAGACTGGTTTTGAAGGACTGATGCTGGAGCTGTGAAATCTTGCATGTATTAATTTCAAATTTTCTTATTAATAACTGCATATTAGCATATCCTGTAAGAAAGTTGGGAATATTCTGCGCAATGAACTTTGCATGATGAAGGTTTATGCTCGGTGGGTGTCACGTTTTCTGATAACTGATCAAAAGCGTATCAGGTTTATCCCATCACGGAAAAACTTGACTTGGTTTGAAGCAGATCCAACTGGTTTCCTTGAAACTATCCCAATCCAGTATCAGGGTTGCGTCCATCACTTTGGGACATAGACAAAGTAACAATCCATTCACTGTAAAAAAACATCACACCTGCTCCAAATTCACTTCATTTGTAGGGAAGGGGATGGCCTCAGTTTTAGGGGATGCAAAATGCATTGTGCTTATTGACTATCGTAAAAAGTGCCACACCATTAATGAAGATCACTATGCCAACTTGTTGATGCAGTTACGAAAGGCTGTCAAGACCAAAAGCCCAGGAAAACCGAGGAATGGTTTCTTGTTTCATGAGATCAATGCTCCAGCACACAAGACCTTCGTTTAAATGGCTCCTGTGCGTGACAGTAATTTTGAACTGATTGATCGCCATCCCTATTCTCCTGATTTAGCCACATCTGACTATCATCTGCTACCCAATATGAAAAGAACATTTGGCTGGAAACCAGTATCACACGATGATGACGCCATATCTGCTGTTGATGAGTGTTTTTAAACATGATGAAAGCATCTTCACCCATTGGGTCCGTTATATTTACTTACGCGCAAAAGGCATGAACCCACCTCCTTCTTCCAACATAATTGGGTCGATTAGTAAAAGTTGTATCACTAAAACATTATTATCTCCAAAAATAACAATAACATTACGTAAAAGAGATTTAGATTTCGGCATTAAATAACTCATAGAGATTGATATGTCGCTAAACAATACCAACCAACTGTTTAACAGAAACCCTTTGAGTTGATCCTGAGTCTTATATTAGGTGAATCTTAGTATAATAAAAACTGTTGGTCTATTGATCTACATTGATCCCTTAATCTAATATAGTTATATTACCTGTGAGTTTAATTTTGTGTAATCTGAAATTGAAATATATTCAGGATGTTGTAATCGTAATTTTTGTCAGTGTATATATTTGTGTGAGTAACACGTCGCGAGATGAATCTCGAGAAGTGTCCCGAGAAGAGACCACTATGTATAGAGGATTTAATTTCTCCTCTCACGTAATGGACTGATGATGTAATAAACACAGAAGTTTCTGTTATTTTAAATCTGACAAATAAAACGACTTATTTTTATGCGTTAAATTATTTTAGGTCACAGCGAGTTCTTCAGCCAGAGAATAGATTGTAATTTGACTTTTTTTATTTAATCTTAATTATAAAATATTAAAATATTAAATATTGACGTTATTTTTCTTAAAGGCGCGGGTAAAGTGGTAGTTGTAATAAAATTTTAATTCAGTCCTCTCTGAAAAATCACAGCGATTATTCACTGAAATACAAGAGTTCTTCACAAAATACTGCGATGAAAAATATTCACGCAAGACAAAAAATAACATGTAATAATTTATGTACTTTTTCTTTCTTAGCTAAAAATGAGGAAAAAATACGATTTATTTTCCGTCAGCTGTTTTATGATCTGCTCCATTCAAGCCAAATGAGGAAGCAACTTCTCTTACAATGATGAAATACTTCATCAGGCTTTACGTCTTAATTTGCGTTAGTTTCTATCATTTTTTTTCATTTTATTTTGATCTCTAACCAAAGAAACCTTCAGTAATTATAATAAAACAATGACAGGATATTAATAGTCAATTCATAATAACATTGTTCTCTTCATCTTGTTTTCTTAGTTATAGAATGGAAGAGTTAACGAAGATAATAAACAATCAATGCAAACATTTCAATGAAAATTAAGTTTATTCCTAATGCGGACATTCACAATTATTTTCGTTAATACAAACAATATTTGTTCTACTAGACTGAAAATCATAGATTTCAGAGATTTTTATTATGTTATGTTGTTCGAAAAATAATGTCCGATTTTAAAATAAACCTTTATATTGTAATTGTTATGGTCCAGGTTAGAACCAAGGGAGACCAACACGAACACAAGAGTAGAAAAAACGAAGGTATATTACGCGAAATAATAATACAAGATGTGGAAGGTGTTAGTATGACTGTCAGTCTGGTTTGGAGTGAACTACTATCGGCTCGACTCGATTCGGTATCTAGCCACCCCCCCACGAGGGTTGCATGTGGCACAAGGCCGAGTTTCCCGAGTTCGTAGGCTCGGCCAAAAAATGCCCGTAGAACCCGTATAAACGGGATCGGGTTGGTCACCCTCCCCGAACAAGACTCTGCCCTTCAGCGGAGCCTCGTCCGGGTTCCTCTCTGCTCAGAGGCAGAGAGTTCGACCGTCAAGCCGAGAAGCTCGGCTTGATTCGTCCCTCTCTCTTGAGAGGCGTAGTATACATAGTGTTAGGAAGAGTTAGATAATTCTGTAGATAAAGGTAAGGACCCATGTCAGTAATATATTATTATAATAGTTCCATAAAAATATATTACTAATTCCATATTATTAAGGCGTCTTCCTTGTTAATTTTATATTAATTTCCTTCAAAATTTAACTTATAACATTATACCCCCACTTCATCTTGAACATGAAAAAAGTATAGATGCGTTTACTTTTATGCGTGGGCTCAAATTTGCTCAAAATGCTCCTTAAACTGCTGCCAACATTAACAAGAGTGAAGGATCGACTGGGGTCGGACAGCCCGGCGCTAGTTTCTGAAACTCCGCAGTGGGGATACGAGTCTTGAAGATCAAGGTGGTACAGGACACCAACTAAACATGTACAATCAACATCTGAAAAGATTAGTCAAACGAAACCCACGTCACAGTGTCAGGGAAATGTCTAAGATGATGGGTGTTAACATTTCAAAAATATCGGATCATCTCAACAAAATGGACAAGGGGAAGAAACATGATAAATGGATTGCAGATAAATCGATGAAAGTGAAAGTGAAAGTGAAAGTGAAAGCGAAAGTGACGTTTTAAAATGGATGCAATGCTGCATTTGCAAAATTCTCATGAACGAATAGTGACATGTGATGAGAAATAGATCATTTATAACAATCGTAAACAATTGGAGCAATGGTTTAATTATGACGAAGGACCCAGACATTATCAGTTCACTGCCTGCGTCCGAGTTTTAGAAAATGACAAAACTTTGTGGCAAGGTTCAGAGTTGTAAATGAGTCCGATAGAACCAGCTGGGAAAACGCACAAACTTTCTCCTTTTGTTCAAGTAGAGCCGTTTGACAGAGGACGGGTGGTGGGCCTTTGAAGGGAGGGGGGGTGAATAGTCATTTCGAAAACCTGTCGCGCCTGTCAGACATGACCCATCGGTGATGCTGCCAATGGAGTAATTCCAACAGAATTCAGATGAACAATCTTACACGCATTACGGCCACGAAATCCGAAATTGCACCAGCAGAAGATGATTATGATGACTATCTGATGATTCTACTATCCATAACAGTGTTCTGGAATCAGACAAGAGCATCAGTAGCGAAGTTTACTGCCAGAAATTGGATAAAATTTACATT